ATTTGTAAGAGGTTAAAAAAATGTTTTAAATAGTTTAGGAAATCATAGGTGTGTAACTTGTGCTTATATACACTTGGGGATCGTTTAATTAGCAGTCAAGATATAATCACAGATCCTATATTATTAGATAAATAATATCAAAATTTTGATGAATTTTTTTTAGCTATAACTTGCAATCAGTTACAAGATAAATATAATCTTAAATTTTATTTTAAAATTAGTATCATAGTGTCAATAACCAAACAAATATTTCGGATCTAAGAATTAAAACAAATAATCAAATAGTACTAGTTTTACCAAAGAAAAATTTAGAAAACTTAATTTGAGATGATTAACTTAAATCACATTCCTTAATTAAAGTACTTACTTAAGGAATTAAAGTAATTCTTGAAACACATTAAGAATTAATCTGAATTTTGAAGTGCATATTTATAAATGAAGGATTTTATAAAGTTATTTGAACTTCTCTTGCATAGTTCAATTTTTAATAATGCTTTTACAATTAATTCTTCTTTCAACTATATAAGTGGATTATAGAGGACTATTCATAAAGTAATTTTTTTTAATAAATAAATTATTGACAACAATTCAAGTGCACGATCTACTATATTACCTTCATGCATCTTACAATAAAATAAAATAAATTAAAATGCACTGAAATTGTTAAAATCAAGATTACACCATAATGATATATAATGGTAGTAATTAGCAACAAACATTGGTTGATTTAACAAGCAATGTTATGAGAAAACCATGTTAATCTAATCATTTTTTACTTTAAAAAGTAACTTTACCGTTACTTGGAATAATCAACACTCAATCTCAACGGAGACAAATATTTAGAAAATCCACAAAAATATTGCAAACATTTCTTTACTTTCCCCTCCTCATTTTAACCCAAGATTTTATCTCGAAATAATTATCACTTTAAAAAATTTAAATTAGAACAACAATGTCTGTCGGAAATTTTATTAATATGCATCGTGGATTATCTATCTCTAAGCCTTACTTGATTGTTCGAGGGATCCCCCACCCCTCTATTGTTTCCGCAGAATTTTAGATGGCTAATGGGAAGAACTCTCAATAGATTGACTTTCGGAAGTCGGGGTGGAAGCAAATGGAGATTAGAGAGAACAAAAAACCTCCTACTCGAAATTGATCTCGTCTGATGCATGGCCAATGAGGGACGTTCTAGAAGGAGAAGAAGCGGATGAATTTTCAGGGATATGCGTGTCATTTTCATTCTGAGGGTTAAGAAATTTCATCTGTCGAGAGTTTTATTACCTGCATACGTCATTATAGCCCCTAAAAGGGTCATAACTTGTTGAAGAGGAAGTGAAAAGAGAGAACCTTACCGAAATTTCTTTCAATTATATTCTTAACATTAAAGAAATAATCCTTTTTAATATTGTTTAATTATCAAAATTATCTAATAAATAAAAATAATTTAATAAATTATAACTTATATTTTTTATTTTTTTTTAATGTAGCAGAGGGAATATTTATTTGTATTTTGTAAAGACCCAAAAAAGTGTTGCAAGGTACGTCACTTTTAGTTTAGAGCAATATTTTCGTACATTATAAATTTTGGTCATTTCGTTAAAATCACGCAATCCCTGCAAATAGGAATAGTTTATATTTAACAATTTATTTTATTTTTAGAAAATCGATGGACTTCATTGAATTACTAAATTCATATTAAAATGCATATTCTTTATGATATATTTTTTGTTATAATTTGCTGATTGTAAAACAAATAAATTTTATATGGGTAATGCTAAATGACCAGAAAATTCAAAAGTCTATAATATCCTTTTTATTTTAAAATAAACTGATCTTCTCTTTTTTTTTAATTAAAAGGTATTAAAGTTAAAAAGGTAAAAATGTTCAAAAAGGTAAAATAAAATAGTGTGAAATATGTTATTTTACCATTCTAGCCAAATTCTGGCCAAAAAGATTTTTCCAATTTATATTATACACCCTTCGTTTTTTTTTATTTGTCAAGTTTGTATTTTTAATATTCTTTTAAATTAATTTGATTGTTACAACTTCGATAAGTTTGAAAAATTATTACTTACTCATAAGAATTGATAAAGTTGAAAAAAAAAAACAGAAGCAATTCTATTTATTTGTTAAAAGGAAAATACAGAATCTACTTTACTCCCTCTATCTCAATTTATGTGATACATTTCCTTTTTCGAGAGTTAAACAATTTAAGTTTGATTGAGAATTTGCTCATGACATCTTTAAAAGTTTTAAAATGAAAATTTATATATTTGTAAACTACGTAAAAAGTACTATGTCTATGAGTCACAATAATTGTCAATTCAAAATATTTAAAAGACATATGAAAAATTTACGGTTAAAAATAGACTTGTTTGAATCTCGAAATCCAAAATGTCTAACATAAATTGAGTATTAATTAAAACTCATTATTTATATGTTCTTAGATGGTCAATAATTTTCTAATTAATTTGTTTTTTTTAACGTAGATTTTGTTAAGTGAATCTTCAATTAGAAATACATCCAAGTGCAAAAATATAAGTTTTTTTAAAAAGTGAAAACACGTACAGGAATATTAAAGTTCAACTACATGCAAAAGAAAGTGACATATCTATAGTTTTTAGTATCTTTCATTTTAGTTGGGACAAATGGGGGTCCAATATGGATGCAAAGTTAAATTTATAGATATTCACCATAACAAAAATCCACTTACTAAAAAAATAAAAATATTTATAGTGGAGAGACGGATCAAACTTAAAAATACATATTTTGTAGGTACGATAATTTATAAGGGAGGTGAGAGATCGATTCTCTCTGTTGTCAACACTTTCTTAATTGAGATTATTGTACTAGATTTATCTGATGAGATTTATATTTTTGATCTGATTTGTAAATTATTAAATATGAGCGAGTTTATTCAGTACGCACCCGAAGCAAAGTAATTACAAATTTCCCTAGCTAGGAGTTCCAAATATGCTACATTAGCCTAGAATATGAATATGTGCCAAACTGCCAATATCCAAATCCAAGATGGTGACTTTATGATATATAGATGGAATATAATACACTTTATATATACCAATAGTTTTAAAAACTTTATATTTATACAGAGTACTTTTTATTATTCTTGGTCCCAACCTCTGAACTCACATATTGATCTTCCAATTTTGTATCTTCAAGATAAGAAAAAAAGAAGAAGGAAAATTCAAATATCAACCTTTAAAAAAATGAAACTACGAGACAAGAAATAAAGCAATAAATATATACTTGTATAAAGATGCATATACATTTAATATGCATGTAAACAAACAAAAAAAAAATACTAATACTTAATTCATAATTCCACAAGTAAAATCCGTGAAGAATAAAACATATACATATAATTCTATTCTTACTTCGTAGAGAAAAAAAAGATTATTTTTTATAGATATTCTGTACTATGCACGTATTATATATATAATATAAGAAAAAAAATAGTATAACTTTTGGCTGCAACATGTTGGACATTTTAAAAAAAAAAAAATCAAAATAAATTTATTTTCTCCAATTTCGTGATTCACATAATATCCTTTATCTATATCTCCCTCCATCAAAATGATCCATTAATATATCAGTTCATATGTGATGCAGTATATATATATATATATATAGTGTGTGTACAATATTAACCATATTCACTATCTTATATATCAATTATTGGCTTAAACCTTTTTGTAATAATACTATTACATAATAGAAAAAATAGAAATTTTAGTAAAGATGTCCGACATTTAAATAGTACTTAATAAAGTAATATTTATTTTAATAATTGTTTAGTGGATTAGGTGTATAACCAACTGTCATTCCCTTTATAAAACTACTACTATGTGATGTCATAATGTAATGAAATTCAACAGATAATATATACCCACACAAAATAATTGACTTATTTTATACAAGTAATTTTCGTTAATTGACTCCTTTTGGACAATACTAGCTACATCCCTAATATCATGTTATTAAAATGATAACAATATATAGCTACACTTGGAAAACACAATTTTTTTTTTGTAAAATTCAAATTTCTTTGCATGTGAGTATTTTCTTTTTTTTTGAATGAATGGCAAGAATACACCTAATATATAACTCAGTTTTTTAAGTTTTGTATCTGAATTATTAGGTGTATGAGTTCATTATATTTAAATCATTACCAAATGTTTATCGAAATATTCCTCAAATATTAGTTATTCACTTCTTTTTTTACACAGAGTCACAAACTATCAAATGCGTAGATTTCTTACATGAATTATCATTAAATGTTTATCGAAACACATTTCAGTTATTAGTTATTCACTTTTGCTAACATAATACTCCTCCGTCCCATTGTCTTATGATATCTTTTCCTCTTTAGTCGGTTTAAAAAAGAAGTCACCTTATTATAATTCAAAATAATTTCATTTTAAAAATTTTCTTTTATCCTTAATGAAATAATTTATCGCCATATAAATATCTCAAAATTATTTTAGATCATAAATTAAAAAAATCTTCTTCTTTTTTAGGGAAAAGGCTCAAATATGCCATCGAACTTTGAGAAAATACTTATTTATGCCATCCGTTAAAAGTTTGGCTCATCAATGCTATTTTCGTTTGAGAAAAGACTCATTTATGCCATTATTTATTAACTGAAATGACATAGATGAACCAAATTCTTAATTGATGACATAGATAAACCATTTCTTAAAATTCGATAACATATTTGAACATTTTTCTTTTTTATTAAAAAAATTATTTAATTAATGACTTGGACAAATCACAATTGACCGCGTGTAAAAAATATTTTTATAAAATCAATTATTTTTAGTTAACAAATAATGGTATGGATGAACCTTTCATCAAATGAGAATGACATAAATGAACTAAATTTTTAACGAGTGCCACATAAAAAGACGTGGAAAAGGAAGGGAGTAATTAATTTGTTAAATGTGTGTTTGACGGTCTAAGTTCTTCAAAGTTGGCAACACAAAACAATGATACCCCACCCCCTATTACTCACTCTCTTTCTCTTCTCTATCTCTCTCCTCTCCCCCTTTGTTTTCTTCCTCAAATCGTTTGGGAACTTCCATAGCTAAACATATTTGCCTGTAACTCTATAAACTTAGCCACATATATAATCACTACTAATAGCCATGAATGACCACTTCCTTTTCTTGAATAGTCTACTCTCTTTACACTGTCTTTCCAGTTTCAGATCTGTGTAGCTCTCTGTTTTGAAGCTTCAGACATGATTTTCTTGCTATTTCCCCAATTGGGTTCCTTTCTTTTTGGAAATTAATCTCACCCATCTTCTCATTGAATTGGTCAAAAAAAAAAGTTTCACCTAGAAAATAAGGTCAAGTTTCTGTAAAGGTCTGATTTTTTTTTTTGCTTCAATGGGGTTCTTCTTCTTCTTCTTTGAGTGGTTAAATGACATTTTCTTCTTGTTATTATTGTTGGGTTGTCTCTTTTTCAGCATTAATGTCAATTAGTACAGCAAAAATGAGCAAAATTTAGTGATAAAGCTATGGTTTTTACCTCATTGGGTTTGTGTTAATGTGTGATTTTCATTCATATTTTGAAGGATTTATGTAAAGGTGTGATTTTTATCTCAATGGGTTTCTATAAATGTGTTTTTTTTTGTAGTGAGTTTCCAAATTGAAGGAAACACAAACAAATTAAAGGATCTCTTTTTTTTTTTTTTGCTTTTTAGAAGTGTGGGGGGAGTAGGTTCATTGCTTCTATGTAATGGCATTGTGAATTGATGAAATCTTGAAATTGACAAAAAATGGAGTAAAAATTGCTGAAGCGTTTTTATCAAGTATTTACTAGATTTTTGGTTCTTTCAATGACCAAACAAGTTAGTTGGTTTGGATTTTTTGGTGTTTTTTTGCCTCTTGAAAGCATTAACTAATCCAGATCCCAGTAAGTTTTAGCTGCATTTACCTGTTTTCCTTTTGAATCTGATGTGTATATTCAAGATATATATATTGCATCATTCTGATTCTTTAGCATTATTGAGATCAATAGACCTCAATGCTGTGAAAAAGAGACAATCTTGAAACTTGTTTCTTCATTTTTTTGTAACTTGATATTAAAGGTATGATGATGAAGGATATGCATATTAGTCACCTGATTTTGCAAAACAAAAGACCCTATAAGCAATTTACATAGTAGTGTCTACATCATCTTAATGGATTCTGCTGTACTGATAATAATAATAATAATTGGTTTATGAACTAAAGCTGTTTCACTGTAAATTAACTTATTGACATGGACTGACTGATTATTAATGTTCATCAGGAGTAGATCCAAAAAAAAAGTCTATCTGGTGGCAATATGGATGGTATGGATGATAGGAGAATGGGTTGTATGGGTGGATTTCTTCAGCTGTTCGATCGTAATCACATTTTAGCCGGGAAGAGACTCTATGCTACGAAACGTTTGCCACATTTTACGGTATATGTTTGTGTTGTTTGATTATTTTCTGTTTAGATGTCTGCATTGTGGTTGTATTGGTGGATGATTGTTTGAATTTTCAGGTTCCTGATGATGTGTCTGAGTCCGATAAGTTTAGTGCATCACCGGCAGTTTCAAAGGAGCTTGGGAAACCACAGCCAAGTCTGGATCAGTCCAAGCAGGCAGCAGTAGAGGTCATTTCTGTTGAGCCAGCTGTTCCTGTCTCGGTAGCGGTAGCGACACCGCCAAAGTCACCGCTCCCGCTCCCTCTTCCAATAATTGAAGTAAAAGAAGGGACGAGGTCTTCGTGGAAGTTTTGCAAAGAAGCTCCGAGGCTCTCATTGGACAGTAGAGCTGTTGTTGATGCTAAAGGAAGTCTTCGACCGAGGGGTTCAGTTCTATCAGCTAACAGAGGTGAGAACACAGAGGATGGAGTAGTAGCTGATTGTGACGACAATCAACGTCCATGCCCGAGTGTCATTGCAAGGCTAATGGGACTTGAACCATTACCCCAATCAAACAATGAAACTCTGCCAAAATCAGAGTTGAGAAGATCTGCATCAGAATCCAGAGTTTCAAGAGATTTGTTTAATGGCCGTTATGTGGATGGAAACCATGTGGATTTCATAGAGCTAAACAATACTCGAGCTAATGTATCAAACAATGCAATGAAAGACAATGCAACGAATGAACGTAGAAGCACAATGCCAAATGCAAGATCTACGGACCAGATGGGTTATCCTCTGAAGAATGAGAACACTGAAAGACCAAAGGCTTCAAACAGAAGTTTAACTTCATCGCCGTGGAAGTCACCTCAGCACAGGAAGTTTTTCTTCGATACAGCAGACATTTTCCCGGAGCCAAAGCAGACGGTCTCACTCTATGGTGAGATTGACAAGAGACTGAAGATGAGAGGAATTGACGAGCCTTCTAAAGATCTCGAGACATTGAAGCAAATCCTTGAGGCTTTGCAACTCAAAGGGCTCCTTCATAACAAAAGACCGTCCGAGCAGATTGGCCACCGGAATTTTGTATATGATCCTACTTTATCATCTGATGAGTCCCCAATAGTCCTTATGAGGCCTTCGAGATCAGTTTCACCAAGCCATAGAAGAATGGCAAATGGTACATCCCCTTCAAGTTTGAGAAGCCGAAATGTCATTGGTCGGAGACCCAATCTTTCTAGTGAAAGCCTTCCATCTGTGAGCCCATGTCGGGAACGGCCTGCTTCTGAACGAAATGCTCGGAGTCCACTAAGATCTAGAGATTCCAGCTCACCAACTCAAAGAGAAAACAGTGTGAGGCTTTCTAGTTCTGTGGCCAAACCAAAGAATCTGAATGTTGATAGTCGTAGAAGAGCAGGAGAGCCAATTGAGAATCGAAGAGTTTCTCCAGTACAATCACCGAAGCTTAGTTCGAGGAGAAACAGTTTGGAGCATAATGGCTCAAAGGTATCACCTAGAAACAAAAGAGAAACGACAGAGAGTAAGCAGAAAGAGAAGATCACAACGTTTGTTACAGAGGACGAGTCATCTTCCATTTCTGAAAGCACTGTTAGCTCATCTTTCCAAATTGATGCGGAGGTATAGTAACAAATCAAGTAACTGAATTTATCTTGAAAGAAAATATAGTAATCACTTATGACTTGAATTTAATCGTTGTTTCTTGAAATGTGGCATTATAGAGATCAAATTTGGAGGATTACAATGAAGGAAGGAGCCTTTTGGAAAGGTGCGATAAGCTTCTTAATAGCATAGCAGAGATGACAGCCCCTGAATCACAACCGAGTCCGGTGTCAGTTCTTGACTCATCATTCTACAGGGACGACTCGCCATCCCCTTCACCTATTATGAAAAGGAACATCGATTTCAAAGGTAAACAGTTGTACTTTCTTCAAGTACTGGTGATTAATGGCAAGTTAAATACATTAGATAAGCTTTCCATATTTCTGCTTGTGTGATAGCTAATGTTACTTAAAAACTGAATCAGATGTTTCAGGGGAATCGGAGGAAGAAATATGGCTCTCATCATTTTCACCTGTCCGATCAAAGTCTAACGATTCAACGGATGACTCTCATCTTGGTTACATTTCGGACATCCTTAGAGCTTCCTGTTATCTGCCTGAAGACTCTGATATATTTTTATTATTGGAGAAGCAGCAATATCTCAAAGGAAAGGACACCTCCAAGGTCTCCAGACTCCAACGGAAGCTGATCTTCGACACTATAACTGAAATTCTTGATAGAAACAGACAACTACCTCCATGGAAAGCATTTTCCTGGTCAGGTTCATCTATTGCAAAGCCATCACTTGAAGGCATTTGGACCGAGTTCCAAAGAATCCAAGAAAGGGAAAGTGGTAACAATTTGGTTGAGATCATCTGTGAAGTTCTCAAGAAAGACCTGGCTCAAGACACTGTCAATGGTTGGGGAGACTGTCCGGTTGAGATGTCCGAGGCAGTTTTGGACATGGAAAGGCAGATATTCAAGGATTTGATAGTCGAAACGATCCAAGACCTTGCTGTGATTGGCTTCAAAACTACCCTCTTAACCGCTTCCCGTAGGAAGTTAGTTTTCTAAAGCTCACAAGGATTATTTTCATGTCCAAGCTTCCTTGTTTTCGTGTTTTTTTTTTCCCTTTTTAATTTGTTTTACCACTTTTTAGGTTTTGGTTCCTATTGATTCTTGACTACCTAGGAAGGGTACTAAGGTGTTGTAATAGTAGTCACTTCCCAAGATTGTAAAAAAAGGGAAGTGTTGTTAGACTGGACCAAGTTTGGAAATCTTTTTTTTTTCATGTGAAATGCAAAAAAGTTTGAGTTAGTTGGCAGAAATAATTAGTTATCATGTGATTTGAGTAAATCAAATTTGACCCTTTTTGGAAAAGTGATGCATGTTTGGTGATTTTAGTAAATGTTCAAGGTTTGATAAAGTGGTTGTGTTAAATTGACATCATTTTCTGATTCTCCTTTCGGAAAAGGGTCAAAATTGCCCCTGAACTATGCGAAATAGACTACTTATACCCTCCATTACATTTTGGGATCAAAAATACCCCCGCTGTTATCCTAGGAGACCACAAATACCCTCAAAAGTTAACACCCCAAATTTTTAGTGACGTGGCAAGCCAGATGGGACTAATCCCTCCACCTAAGCATTGCCAACTAAGATTCACTACAAAAGAACTTGACCTTTAGTGGCGGCGACAAAGTCGCCACAAATTCCCAAAATATTGCCACTAAAGGTTATGAGTGATTTTTAGTGGCGACTAAGGCTCCAACAACCATTCGCTAGTAAAACCTATTTTTTCAACAAAATAATATGATAATTAATTTTTGATTGCAACCTAATTTTCTAAAATAAATAACTTGCAATATCAATATTAAAAACATACAATATTTTTACGAAAAATCATCAAAATTACTTCTCGCCAATATTATTACGAAAATCATCAAAATTACTTCTCGATTCAAATCTCCTACTATATAATGCATCATTGTACATTTTATACATTTACATATGACATAAAAATAAAACATACAGTGTCTTCAAACTCCTACTTAATCGATATCATATTTGGTTTTTTAAAAACAATGAAAAAAAAAACACAAAATTAGAATTTAATGTTAAAAATTTTTAGTGACGGTTTTCTGGGTTTTTGTGGCGACTGTTATTGCCGCTAAAGGTTAGTTCTTTTGTAGTGAATCCTAGTTGGCAACGCTAGGTGGAAGGATTAGTCCCACGTGGCTTGCCACGTCAATAAAAATTTGGGGTGTTAACTCTTGAGGGTATTTGTGGTCTCTTAGGATAACAGCAGGGGCATTTTGATCCCAAAATGTAACGAAGGGTATAAGTGGTCTATTTCACATAGTTCAGGGGCAATTTTGACCCTTTTCCATTCTCCTTTTGGTTGGTTGGCAAAAAAGTAGTCCGATTCACCATGTTTTCGCTTTTACATAGTTTATTGTACAATGTACATAGCTTTACCTTACATTTCTGTAAGAAGTTGTTTCAACAATTTGAACTCGTGATCTTTTAGTCACATGTCAATAACCTTATCAGTTAACATCAAACTTTTGCTATGCACAAGACTACAAGATCTATTGTACATAGCTTTACTTTGCATTTCTATAAGAGATTGTTATCACAATTTAAACTCGTGATTTCTTAGTCACCCGACAACAACTTTATTAGTTATGTTAAGGTTCCCTTTCATTGGCTTGACTAAATAAATTAGACACAACAACATTAGAATATACTGAAAGCCAAAAAGGGATGTTTAGTGCATACCTTGAAAACAGTTGGAACCAAAACCTCTTACTTTGGGAATGAAAAACCCTTTGTTAAATTGTGCCACAGTGTCAGTGTCTATGACCTAACAGTAGGCGTTTGGCCATAGATTCAAAATATTTTTCATTCTTTTTATGGAGTTAGGAGTAATAGGTGTTAAAAGATTAAGTTTTATGGGTAGTGCTAAATGGCCAGAAAATTTGGTCAGAAATTTAAAAAAAATTATAATTTTTTTTAAAATTTTAAAATAAACTGATTCCCCC